CGGGCCGGCCGGGGAGGGCCCGAGGACAGGCGGGGCGAGGGCGCCCTCTGCTGGACGCTGCGGCCCGAGCGGGGATCGGGACTCCCGCCTGCATCCCGGGACCTCCGTGGACGCGAGGACCCCGCGCCGTGTCCGTGGGGCCGCCAGGCTCCTCAGCGCCCCCTGGCGGCGGGGCGCGCCGTCTCCCGCCTGCCCCGCAGTGCCGGCCTCTGACCGTGGGCTCCCCCAGGGGCTGGCTGCCTCCCCGAGGCCCCTCTGCGTGTCCCCAGCCTTCCGGAGCGAGGGAGGTCCCGCGCAGGCTGGGAGCACGATGGTCCCACCCGTGCAGGGGCTGCTCTGCTGCACGGGGAATGAAAGTCTGTGAGGCTGCAGCTGTGAGCGGGGTCGGCAGGGACCTGTGGGCTTCGCGGGCTTCGCTCTGCAGCCAGTGTCAGGCCGTGGGGAGAGGCTGGCGGAACGACCTGAGGTCGGAGTGGGAGGAGCCACGGGGTGGAAGCACGGAGACGGCCAGGGCCAGGGCAGGCTGGGCAGGGGTCAGGCCGCTGCCATGGGAGGCAGCTGGTGCCTGGCCTGGCCACACAACGCTGAATCAGAGCTACCTCTCCTGTGAGAGACGCCCTCCCCGGGCCAGGAGAAAACTCACACCCTTAGTTTTCCACTGCCGCCTGTCTTGCTGAGGCAGAGACTTCTGCCCAACCAAGGCTTTGCCTTGCCTTTGGGTCTTCACTTCCTGTGAGGCTCCTGGGTCACATAAACCTATGGTCCATGTCTTAGTTATGGACAACATACCCGACCCTCAAAGTTAAGAGGAAAGGTTTATTTAGCTCACAATTTGTAGAGGGCTCAGTCCATAGTTGGCAGGCTCTAAGGCAAGGAGCAATGGTAGAGGGCATCGCAGAGGAGAAACAGTTCATGGTGGGCAGGAGGCAGCAAAGCAAGCAAGTCCAAGTGACCATCTATAAGGAACTAGTAGCAAGCCTCTTTCTGTCCTTATACTGTATCAGGCTACCTGCCCTCAGAGTGGGTAGCACTCACACCTTTTATCCTAGCACCCTTAATCCTGGCATTGCACCATGAATCAATCACACACTCTAGATTCAGCCACCTCTATAAAAGCCCCACCTATGACTGCATGGGGCTTTGGGGGAAAATCTAGACACAAGCCATAACAGTCTGGTGTCTGCTTTTCCCGTTTACCTTATGTCTGTTTAATGTCCAGCCCTGGCTCGGACTACAGGAAGATGGAGGTGATGATGCCCCTCCCCAACCTATCATGTATGTAGTACCTCTTTTCAAAGAACGTTCAGCAG